GTTTTCTAAGGATCTTTCGTTTTTCTAAATAATAATCTGTATCTTATAAATAATATATATTAAAATAATTTGGTGTATGAGATTAATTAGCCCCAGAAACTGTAGAACGAACCATAATAAACAACATTATTATCGCATTTCTTTCGTTACTTTTCTACTGTCATTTTGTGTTTAGATGCTGAGAAAGGTTCTTGTTATTAGAACCAAAGTTACAGTATTTCCTGTTCTATACCTTGATTTGTGCTTTTTCTTACGTTGTTTTACTTTATTTATCTTCTCAAGAAATCAATCTTTTACTAAATAATATTCTATATTTTATAAATAATATACATTGCATTGTTTCAGATGCACCTTAAGAAACATAATGTGGAATTTAACAAAACGTTTCAGAATTGGTTATTAATATTTGGTGAATGTGTACTTAGTAAATTATGAGATGCATTTCTATGATCTTTCGTTTTATTAAATTATATTGTAAATTTCACGAATTTTACATTTCTGTTTCACTTATCGTATCCCTTAATCCCCCCCCCCCCCAAAAAAAAAAATCACNCCCCCCCCCCAAAAAAAAAAGACTTCAGGCTATCCATTTTTGTTCAAATTAGTAATCCGTTAGTTTTGCTTCGTGTGCTTTTCTTTTTTCTTTTATTTAGACCTAACATTATAATTTTTTTTCTAACTATTGGGACACATTAAAACATGGACTTATAAAAAGGGTGATAGAATTTTTGTTTTATAGTTTCGTTGTTGTAGGCTGCTTAATTTTTAACTTCCTTATCTTAGTAATTTTTTGGTTTGTATATTTTAAGTTATAGATTCATAGAAATTTTTTTTTTCGCTTTAAATAGAATGAATGTAAGATGAAGAGTCGTATTTTATTTTAAACCCCACCCCCTTGACTGGTTTATGCCCAAAATTGCTTTAGCAATAAATTTGTAACTATTTTTTTTTCTATTTCTAGAGAATAATGAAGTCTAAATATATTATTAAAACTATTCTCAGCGGGAAAAGCATACTACTGTTAATTAAAATAAATTACGCAACTCAAGTAGCAATTTAACTACAAAATTTGGGGAGTGTTTGCTCTTATTCGACAAGCTTTCACTAATAGAAATTAAAATCTCATCAAATATGGGTTTTTAAAAGGTACCTCGTGATAAAATCAAGTTAATGTGTCTTATATACTAATGATTCGGTATTTAATATTTATAGTGGTAGTTACGCCACATAGTAATGAACATCTTTCAAGCATAATTTTAGAATCCTTGTGTAAAATGATGTAAAAAGAAGTGTTCATTAAGCGTCTTAAATTAATATTTAAGAAAAGGGAAACGCAATTGAAATGTGTCATATAACTAGTTATAAAGATAGGATTAAAAACATTATTGCTAGTTAGTAGTGTTTCGAAAAATCGCCTCTCAACTTGACTCATACTCCTTACTCAATCAAACAGGTTTTGATATTTTCAGGCCTTTATAGAAAGTTTCTTTCATTATATAATTCATTAGATGCTTCTAGGTTCAAATCTTAATTTACGGGCCCTATTGTGTTTACATTTTTATTATACTTAATTTTTGGCATCGATTCTAAAGTAGTATATTTAGGCAGTACACTACGAAACACCCTGTATAAAAATTATACATTCACATTCTAAGGTTTATAATCAATGTTAGAAAACAAAAGTAGATTTTTCTCCTCTAGAAAAAGTAGTTTTGTTTACTAATTCCTTAAAAATTATAAAATGTTATGAAAAGATTTATAGTTTATTTTAGCGACATTTTAAATGTGCTTAATCATTTTAGAATGTAATTATTTTTTTTCGAATTCTCATATCTCGATCGTTTTGGCTTATTCTAATTTTACCCTAATTAACATATTCATTTTTTTCTTTTGTAGATAAAATTAGAATTTTGTGTACCAACATCTAATCAAACATCTGTTTTTATAAAATTCTTTGATTGAAATATTTGCAATTGACACAGACCTTCTAAGATGTACAATCTTTTGGCCTTGTCTGTCTATTGCCACCCCCGTTTCTTATTGCATGTCGAATGTTTTGTCGGTATTTATACCCGTCATTTTCTTTTGTCACATGAAGTAATTTTACCTCATTAAGTCGAAAATACCTGAATAAACGGAACAGATAGTGATCTTTTTTTTTGACAGAAGAATTTTTTTTCGTGAAATCGCAGCGGGTTGTCCCTTATTGTATTATTAATTAATTTGTTGAAGTTTATCATAACATGTTGTTTTAGTATATAGTTTTGTGTGAAGTGATTTTATGTGCTTTAAATTCAGGAGTACAGTAGAGTTTAAAAATAAAAGTCATTGTTTTGGAAACTCTATTTCTTTTTTTTCCATTCTCGGATGTAAGTAGGAAATTTTGTGTTCTGAAATTTGTGTTGTTCGTTTGCGATTTTTATACAGCGTTGTAAGTCTGTTTCGTTTTAGCTTTGCATCATGCTTTTGTTTTAACGAAAATCGGATAATTTAGGAAGTTCATTTATTTTATAGCTCATTAAAATGTTCTTACTCAAAATCGGGGTAAAATAATACACCTTTAAAGCATTGAAAATTAAATTTATAATGATATGGACAAAAATATGAGTAGAACTTTACCAGATTCCTTCAAATTCTAAAAATCTTTATTTTAAGCTTGTTGTTAAAATTATTTATTTGTAAATACCTTATTTTGATTAATTACGGTATCTAGTTTATATTCTGGTTAAAATTAATAAAAAAGGTTTTAATTTTCATATTTGTCAAGCATAAACGTTCGTTAACTATAGAGAATATATTTTCATAAAACCTTTTCTTTTCATGCGAGGCATTTTTCAATAAATAAGAATGTTGCCCTTTTTCAGTTAGTCAATTCGTTATTCATTTCACTATTAAATGCTCCATTAAATTCTTCTCAACAGAATTATTCCAATTAAACTATTTTGCATTTCACAAATGAATTATTTCACAATTTTGCGCTTGACGTATTAACGGATAATTAGCGTAAAAACAACAAATAAAACATCTAGTATGCTGTACGTAACTTTTGAGTGAGCGCAGAAACTTTTCTATTTTTAAAACTTATTTACTTTTGTTTTTTTAATTTTCCATATTTAAGTTTTTGTAATGCTGTGAAATAGTTTATTATTGTTGATTTAAAATTAGAAATGTATTAATTTTCTGATGTGCTTTTTGATCAACGTGCAGTTTGAAAATGCTAAGTCATCAGGGTTCAGTGCTGAGACCACATATTTTATAACAGCAATAAGGTGACCATGTCATAAAGTAAATTTAAAACGGCTGCGCAGAGATTCTCTAAACAGCAATTCTAACATTTAAAATACGCTATATTTATTGTTTACAATAAATATAGCGTATTTTAAATGTTAGAATTGCTGTCCAAATATTATGCTTCTATTTGAGAAGGTTTGGGATTTGGCAAATATTTTTTTTTCCTATTAATCTATCGTAACCCAATTATAGGTCGTGTAAAGCTATAGCTCCAAAAGCGTGAAGCTTGTTCGAAATTTTTCAAAACTGTACAAAATATTTTCCTAAATCACTCCAAAATCTGTAAATCCAAAATGCATCATGGAAATATTCTTAAAAAATTGGCACTTAAATCTTTTTCCCTCAGTGTTAGCGTTTCATTTTCCTTTTTGAAACAATCTCTGGATTAGTTCATTTCAAACAGAACAAAGAAGTTCAAATCGTGTACAATTCAATTCGATCCACAGCTATCATTTTGTCTCTCATTGTCTATTGTTGCAATTCTTTCATTTTAGTTCGTCTAATCCAACGTATGAACCTTATCTTCGTTATTTTAGATACTTAGAGTAGTTTTCTAACTCTTCTAAGTAAAATTAAATGTATTCTACTTGCAAAAGTACATATCTTATTCAAATTATGAAACTTATCCTTGTTGTAATTTACATTGAGTAAAAATTTTTAATTTTTGCTACATATCAACATTATAAACTCTGAAAATGTTGCCCTTTATCATTTTTTATTCTTTCTTTCTTTTTTATATGCGAGTTGAAAGAGCTTAACTAATCTCTCTAAATCTAAATTTCAAACATTTAGCAATAACAGTTTAAATGTAATTAAATGTATAATATTTAATGAAGATTTTTACAAATTTCGAGTTTATTATAAGTATAAGAATTAATTTTGAAGTATAAGAATTAATTTTGAATAATAAATATGTTAAACCGATATTCCTAATTTCTTTTCAGTCTAGAGTATTTTAAAGCTGTACAAACTAATTCTCAATAAGAATACTTTGCGAAATTAATGACAATCTTCTGCATGCTCAAGAAATCAGTATTATATAATTATAATTATGTACTATAATATTGGTTATATAGCTTTATTGTTTGACTTCTAAAATTACACATGTCTTGGGTTGGGTTAATGAATAATCTGGCTCTTTGCAAAAATCGCCGTCATTTTAAAATGCAGGAGACTCATTGGAAAGTCTACAGTTCTTCCTAATACAACCTGAAATTTTTAGAATTATTTAAGTGAGCCCATATATCTTTTGTCTAATTCGAAAATAAATCATGCCTTGTTCAGTTAGCTTAATTTATTCCAAAATAATGAAGTCCAATAAGTCCAAAATAATGAAGACTTATTATTAATAGCATTAGTCCAGATTACTTAAATTGTAATGAGCTGATTTAATAAGTCTAAAATTAAGAAAATACTAGAGACTTTTTTTAATAAGTCTGGGGCATAACGAAATATCGGCGACATTTGAAAGCAGGATTTTTCAGTTACCCAATCAATTCAACACATACACATATTTACTAATAAAAATAAAATAAAAAAAATAAATAAGAACTTGAATTGTTGTAAAAAGGATGTTATTTTCAAATCCAAAATCCATTGTTTGCTTTATTGATTTATTATTTAAAAAAAAATTATAATTGCTTTATGTTACATTTAGTTAAGGTTGGCCTATTTTTTAAAGTTTAATAATTTAAACATTTGTATTTCAGGCCTTGTTATTGGGAGTTTTCAGATCTCCAGGATTCTTCTCTAAGCTATGCACCCTCATCACATAATGTGCTTTTCCAGTACTCTTATCTGCTTCCTTGTTGTGACATGTCATGGGGCAATTATCAACAAGTATCAAAATGAAGTAGGACATCCAGACAACGAAAATAACCACAAGTTTTCCAATCATTCTAGGTTACCAGATGATATTACTATTCATCACCATCATAACTCATCAGGTGAATTAGATTTGTAACATTCTTATAAAAAAAAATTATCATCATTTGCATTTTATTTATTTTGAGGAGATTTATTTATCGATTTTGACAACCTTCATCTACGAAAAGGTACCTGTAGATAGAATTACGTTAACATGTTTTATATACTAGTGAATTGGTATTTAATATTTAGAGTGGTAGTTACGCCACAATTTCTTATTCATTTTTATGTAGTTTAACAAATTTCTATTACTCTAGGATCCTTCGCATCTCGTTCGTTCCGCTCACCAAACCCAGTGGTTGCTTCTTATTCCTTGTTTTTTTTCTTCTTTTTTTTTTTAAAAAAAAAAAGAAAAAGTCGGTGTAATTTTTTTTCTTCCTAAAAAACGTTTTATAAAACATTATTATTATTTTTTTTAATATTTTAACAATGTATTATTAATCGTAACAAAATGAAAGTATACCTGGATTTGAAAAATAATCCTGAAGAAAAAGAAAAATTAAACTTAGGAATATAGAATGCGCGACACAATAAAAAGTAATAAATTAGAAGTAATTTTACTTGAAAACGGCATGTAACGATAACCTCTTATATAACATTATTATTTAACAAACACATTCATCATGTCAAATTTTAAGTCTGTAGTTGCATTCCTGCGGCCTGTAGAGCTGCCCGCATGGTATTTTTTCTTACAAGTTTTACAGTTAATAATACTCAAACTAAGTATCGATTATTATTTTTTTTATTTCATTGTAATCTTTGTACATTTCTCGAAACACCTTAGTAATTTCAAGTTCCTAAGTCTTACAGTTTTTGTGTAGCCATACAAAATGTAACGTTAAGTTGGAACTCCTCCCAAAACGTCGGCGCCCTTATGTTTTTTTTAATACGTACATATTTATATTAACTCGTCAACGTGTCTGCGTGAGAAAAACCTTGCAATCATAATTTTTATCGGTTTCTAACGATATATCTAGTTCTAGAGCATTGAAATATCTAATAGAGCCACGATGCTTGACGAAAATGCAATTTTCAATCGTTTACTGATAGCTTCAAGTAGAATTCATCATCATTTTATCATAAAATAGAATTGTTTCCTGATTGCTAAAAATAGAAATTATCATCATTTTTCCGCCAAATAGAATCGTTTCTTGAAAGCTAAAAGTAGAATTTATCATCATTTTATTTAAAAATAGAATCGTTTCCTGACCGCTACAAGTAAAATTCATCATCATTTTATTTAAAAATAGTAAAGGCAATCCAAATTGCGACCACTTTCTGACTCAAATCTCAGGAAAAGCCAAGTTTCTGATGAAAATAAAAGCTTCAATTGTTTATCGTGCCATTTTATCACCAAATTATCGACATAGAGAATTTATCTCTTATCCTAGTTTCGACTGTTTTTCAAGTAGCTAGAGTGCTCGAATTTCAACCGAATCTCTGTTATAATACAAGTTGCAGTTATTTCCTAAAATGTATAAGCAAAATGCATCGCAATTGCGTTGCTATTTAAAGTTTTAATCATTTTTGAGCACAAATAAACTAACAAACATAAAATTAAAAGGAAGAAATTAAATATCTTCTTTAAACCTGTGTTCTTTTTAACGGAATAAAAAAGAGAAAATAATTTTATTTTTGTCAAGCCTAAGGAGGAAAACGTAACGTGCATCACTTTCGTAATCATTTTCAATCAACACTGCCAATTCTCTGGTGCAAAATGAAAAAAAAAAAAATGTCTTGTATGATTTTTGTTGTAGGTTTGACTGAAATTAATCCTTTTCTCTATTTTAGCTTTTTTGAAGCATAGCTTTTAGAATTTCTATTTTATTATTATGTTTATGTAATCTAACACTTATTTATTTTTACATAATTTAACCAGTTAAATATCAAAATATATGTAGTGCAGATTGATTTGTGACTTTCTCTGAGCAGGATTGTCATAAGATTAAAGTTTGTTGGTTTTGAAAATTTTATACTTGGAAACTAAATTACAATAATTATGTTGTATTTAATGTTTAATTTAATCTCCAAGAAATTATTTAATTAGGAAGACATTAAAATTTTTATATTATTACTACTATATCTACTTAAGAAGTCTCATAATGTAGCTTTGAATTTCTGTTTTATTGAATGAAATTTGAAAATATTAATTAAAAACATAGTTAGGTATTTATTTATTTGTTTAATGTTTATGTGAATTTAATTGATAATTTTTTCCGAATGATTAGTAATAACTGTATAATACCCGTTGTTTAAAAATTACCAAGATTTTAAGAAGCAATCTCCGAAAAAGTAAATATAAATGCTGTCATATGATTTTTGACATTTTCCTCAATGTTCATCAGCAGAATGCACTGCATGATAGAAAACATTCTAAGTGAAATATTTGCACAAGCATCTGTTTATTTTACCATGTTTACCTGTACCATGTTGTTATTTTATAAAATTTTTCAATTAGCATTGCCATCTGTTGACAAACTTTGAAACTAACTTTTAGCCTTTTTGAGAATTAATATCAGGTAGACTAAGCAAAACATTTTTATCACCCTCCTTTTTCTTTCATTGATTTTTTAAGTAGTCGAACATCTTTTAATTACCCAGTTAAAAGCAATAAATTCTTTTTGTTCTTGTTGATTCAGATTATTGATGTTGATTATTCTTGTGATTCAGATTATTGTTGTTGATTCAGACTAAAATTATTCTTTACATACTTCTTATTTAGATATCCACTCTCACTCTGAACATCACCACGAAAACTCAATTTTAGATCACCATAAAGATGGATCATCATCTGTAATAAGTTTCTCCAAACGTCTACGAAGATCTGCTGATACAGATTTTCCACAAGCATATTCCAATGGTAACAAATCAATTTGTCATTTTAAAGTAGTTTATGAATCCAATAGCTCCTGTAGAGTGGTCGTTCAAATATTACTGAAAAATAAAACTAACAAGGGTGTGCTTATGTTGTCTGATAAAGGGGAAAAAAGGAGTATAAACTATGCTTATGCATTACAAAAATCTCTTTATTTTTCAAAATATTTAAAAAAAAGCAAAATAAGGAATACCATATAAAATTTTCTTCAAAGAGTTTGAGGTCAGAATTTAAACTCAAGATTCCTCTATTTGAAATTTTTTAAATTTAATTAAAATATAGATTTTGTTCTATGCAAAGTTGCTACTTTTATTTGAATTTGATCCTAAAATTAGATTACTCAGTAAATGTCAAAATTAAAGCAAAAATCGGGTTTCTAATGCAACCATTGAATGTGGTTTGTGACTTACCTATTTTTTATGACAAGGGGAAGGGGACATCCAAAATTGCCAAAAATATGCTTAGGTAATATTTGAATGACCCCTAATATTTGTCTTGTCCTAATATATACCCTTAGTATATTTAATATAAGACATATATGTAATAGTATATGTCTTATTTTACTGATAAAATAATTAGTTTTAAGTCGTTCTGTTATTCTTATTTTCTTAACCATGCTTATCTAATATACTTTTTTTCTTTCATAGAATTTTATTAGATTTTATTTTTTCAGGCAAAAGTAATTTTGAGCAATCTTCAATCAAAAAGAGATCCAAACCGCCACACGACGGTTCTCATCACAGGCGACACAACGATTCAGATCATGACCATTCTAATGATCGGAAAAACCATCCAGACTTTGACTATGATGCAGAAGAATCTTATGAAGATCCTGAAAGTGTGCATCTTGATGGTTCCTCACAGTTGCCATCTCTAAATGAAAAACCTGATAAAGCAACCCAAACAGGTGCCATCAATCCTTGTGTGAATAGTCATGATCATGAAGATCATGATCACGAACATCATGAACATTCTGAGGAAACTAAAAGTGAAAATGAAGCATCCAATTTTCATCAGCATGCTCACTCAGCTCCACCTGAACTTGAAGGAATAGGTATTTTTTTTTCTTCTTCTTTTGATTCAATTTTAGTAATTGTTTTATAAAAATATTAGTTTTTTACTTAGAAAATTATTGCATTAATTCTAATTCATGAAATACAGTCAAACCCTGCTTTAGTGAACGATCCGCAGACATAGCAATAAGTTCACTATAAACAATGGTCCACAATACCCAATTTCTTTGAAAAAATATTTTTTGAATATTGTCGGTAATAATGAGTAATCTAGTACAAAACTTGCATATAAATTAATGAAACTAAATACAGTAGAGTTTCCCTGCAATGTTTTTTTTTCATTAAAAAAACCCTAATAAATTAGTTTTTTTAAACCCTATTTTATAGGTCTTTTTTTTTTTACAGTAGTGATAGTACCGATTTTTTTTTTTTAACAGTGTAATTTTTTAAAAAAATATATAAAACCTTTTTTATAGATTGAATTTCAAAAGGAAGAAAACCTTTGAAAACATAAGTTTTTTATTAGATAGTAATTGAATTTTATTGGTTAAATTCTTTATTTGGTGCTTTTTATATCTACTGAACTCAGTGGCACGACAGCCCATAGAGGGCCAAGGGCTACTGTGCCCATCTCAGTTTTTTTGACCCAGGACTCTGGGGTGCAGGAGCAGATGTTCCAATTTAGGTGGTGAGACGAACCCGGAACCCCCAGTGTTTAGTTCCCAAGCATGCTTGGTACTCATTTATCAACCCATTGAAGGGATGAAAAGCTGGCTTTTTATATCTATAGATTTTAATCCTAGAAGTCATTCTTTAATTTTACCTACTTACTTTATCCAAAAATATTAGTTATTTATGTATCTACGTACAGTTATTAAAAATAAAATGAAAGTTTTTCATCTGATACCAAAAGTTTCCACAATGCGTTTTGAAATTTCAAAGAATTTAAGAAGAAAAAAACAAGAAAAACGTTTCTTTTATGAAATATAGCAATTGTCTATATCTCATAAAATATTGATAATTGTTATATTGATGTATTTTTGAATTATAATTTAATATTTTATTTAGAGCAAACAAAAACTGTGCATTTCATTAGTGACCAGGTTAGAAAACAATATGTGTGGTAGTGTTGAATCAGCATTCAACATTAACCCCAGTGTTATGTATGTAAAAAAAAGGGACTAAATCTTTGTTTTAAACAATGTAATGCATTTTGGAGACTTCTAATCTTCTACTCACTTCTAAAAATTGGCAAAAAAGTGTTAGAATATTTTAATAAAAATGATCTTAATCTTAATCATTAATATTTAAATATGCCATTGAAAATTCAAATAAATAAAACTTTGGTTTTCTGCTTTTCACTTAATTTGTATTTCTATTTTAGTTTGGTTATATGCTTCTTTGGCTGTGGTTGCAATAAGTTTGTGTGGCTTGTTTAGTGTCGCTGTGATTCCTATCATGCAAAAGTGGTTTTACCACACACTGCTGCAATTTCTAGTTGGACTGGCTGTGGGTAGTCTTTCCGGTGATGGTTTGCTTCATCTAATGCCTCATGTAATTAAATATTATTTTCACTTTTATATGTTATATTGTAAATAGCGCTTTACATTTTATGTTTATTTTCATGATTTGGATTATTAGTTTACATGAAATATAAACAAAAACAAAAAATTAATAAAATCTATAAATATATATGATAAAAAAATTGAGATAGTCAAAATTTTTAACATTCCAGTTTTAAGCACATTTTATTGCTGATTATTCGTTTATATGAAATGTGATCTTCAAAAGAATTTTAAAATAATGTAGTTAGTAGAAATTTTTTTAAAAAAAAAATATGGTATTAACAATTTATTCTAATTTTATGTAAACTTTGCTGAATTTTAACTTATCAGAATACAATTGAACTTGCAAAAATAGTTAATATTTTATGAATATTGTTTTTACTATGCATGTTTTATCTTGTTTTAAGGCATTTCTTTTTGTTTCAAAATCGAATATTGTGCGAACAATACTAGATTAAATAGGCTAAATAAATCAAGTTAATAAGTTTACAAAAACCAAATGTGCTATTTATGAAAAATAATATCTTGTTATTAATGTCTAATATCATTCAAAATGCTTGAACATTAGTAGGACTCAATCCATAATACCATATATTATTCATCTCCAAGTAGGATAATATTATTTAACTTTGAAAGTATACTGTTTATTACCATACTATTAACGACTGTTTTTAATGTACTGAAATTGTAAGAAAGTTCAACACTATTGAATTTATGTGTTTTAATAATATGGTTTAATGAGATAAATCATTTGAAATAGGTGTGCTTTATTTTTTCTTGCAATTTTTTGTACAATGACTTTTCTTTATTGAGACTAGATCATTTCCATACTGAGATCAATGACAAACATTTTTCCTTTAAATTTTTTTCAATGAATTAATGTTGAATTTACTTACCTACATTTGAATCATATTGTTCTGAATATTCCATCCGTCTGTAGTGTTCACAGTTAAGCTCATGGGTGCAAGTCTTCCGTCCCCAGGACGGATTTCCGTCTTTCGAAAATGCCCGCGGACGGAAGTATGACAGAAACAAGACTGACTCGCAGACGGAATTTTTTTTTTTTTGTCCTTAAAAATATTTTTTAGGTCTACGTTATTGGTCTACTTTCTTATGTCCTGTTGTTATTTTATCAAAAGACAGATGAATAAATATTTTTTGTACAGTATTTAAACTTGATGTATTATGGTAAAGCTTTCTTAGATAGTTTGCATATGTCGAGGGGGTATTGTGTATGTTAGGTATTTCAGTCAAACAATTTTCAGTCTTGACCTTTTTTCCAACTTGCATCCATGGTTAAGCTTACATTTATGAATTTTGACAGTAATAGTAATCTTATTTTCATTAATTGAATCTTTAGTTGTTTTCTAATTTATAGTACTTGTAAATGTTTGAGTGTGCCTATTTGTAACAAGAAAAAGGGTATTTTTTTCTGTTAGAAATTTTATTTTTGCTTTCAAGAAGGAATAGTTATTTACAACAGATGAAGCTTATTTTTATTTTTATTAAAGTATTATAATGAGACTCTCTAGATTTCGGTTTTTCACAGTAACATGTTTGCACTTACGTTTCGTTGTAATTTTTAAAATATATTAATGTTATTATTTATTAAATTAAATTATCTTATATTTTATGTTCCAGGCATTTCTTGATAGTCAAGTACGCCATGATCACAAAGGAAGCCACGACCACCATGATCAACTGGTTTCCCTAAAACACATGGAAGAAAAGTCAGTTTTTAGAGGTTTAGCTGCTTTATCTGGAATATTTCTCTTTTTTATTGCTGAGCGTCTTCTTGGAGCAGTCACAACATACAGAAAACAAAAGAGAGAATCAAAAGTAAATTTCTTTTATGAACGATAATGCGTTATACCTATTCAGTATGTAATACATTTGTATTTTGAAGGTTTAATATTTTTCTCAATTTGATTTGACCTTTTTTCATCTAAAGAGATCAAAGCTACTTGTCTTAAAAATTTAAAATCTATTTCAGGTGAATAAAAAAGTTAACTTTTTGCCATTTGCAAATAAAGCTAAACAATGTAAAGAAAGCACAAATAATACCACATAAATAACTATTTGCTTGTTGGACAAACGTGTCTACAAAAGTTACAGACTGATTGGTATTTTTTACAATATAATAAGTCTTTTAATTTTTTGCTAATTTTTAACAAGAACAAGCCATTTTACTAAAAAATGAGAAATTGCAATGTCATAATGTATTGTAAAGTGTAAACTATTTCTGTCTTGGTTTTAATTATAATTATTTTTTTCTTCATGTAAAGGTAAAAATTGACATTTTTTTAATACTCAAAAGTGACTTTTGCCTCTACTTAATATGTTATTTAGCTGTAAAGCAACTGACAAAATAAATAAATAACGTTATCCACGGAAAAGTCAAATTATTGTTAGAAAATATTAGGATAATTATACATTATTTACCACAACTATATGAATTTCCTTTGTAAAATATCCGTATTGTTTAAGTTAACATATCTAAAAATTAAACGTTAAAAGTTTCAACAAAGAAATTTTACTTTTTAAAAGTAAAATGTGATGTCAACATTTCATTTTTATAACAAATTAAAGAAAAAAAGGGAATTATTGCCTCTGCATTACTATAATATTTTATAGAAAATTATTTTGATTATTAGATGCGCGATGTCAATGATAATATTTACAAAATAAGTTAAGTGCACAGTTAGAATTGATACTTATGTTCAATTCTCTAACTTTTCCTAGTTTTTTTTTTTTTTTTTTTTTAAATCAGCATATCAAAAATGTATTGTATATATTTCTTAAATAAATATTTTTAACCGTTGTACAATTGAACTCTTTTTAGTATTCTGATTGAGGTTTTATTAATTTCCTTCATATTTTTGCCGAAATTCTTTGTAGTATTATAATGTATGAATTTTAGATCTCTTTTCAGGGAACAAAACAATTGAGCTTTTGTAATAGTTCATTAATTTTTGTTTTTAATAATCGCACCCTTTCATACAAGTGTAACTGATATTGAGGACACTCCAATATCCCAGATTTTTTAATCAAGAAAAAACTAGCCAAAGAAGTTTTTTTTAAAATTTTTTTGTTTTTTTTTTAATAATTTAAATGCTAGCTAAGCTCAGTACAAAGTAGAATCTCATTTGTCTTTAAAATTCTGCAACTCAAAAATTTAATCTTGATTTTTTAATAGCATAATTTAGCTATAACTGTATTCGAAAAAATTAGCTACAACTGTATTTAAAAAACTTTTTTTCCCAGTTGTCAAGGCATCCTAAACATATGCTTACTTCATCAAGAGAAGATGGAGCCAACAATGGCAGTGTTGGAGAAAAACTTGCTCAACCAAAAAAGAACTCTTATGATCATATCAGAGAAAAAGATGAAAAAGAAACTATACAAAGTAAATGATGTTCTTGTTCTGTTCTTATATTTGTCAGTAATTAACTTTTCTGCCTAGTGTATTATTAATGAATTTAAAACCATATGCAATAGTTGAAACATGATTTAATTATAACAAAACCATTGATTACAAGTAACTTAATTTCTAATTATCGATGTTCATGATTTAGACTTTATAATTGAACATATTCAACATACCTAGTAATTGAACAACTTATTTTCAAAGTTCAAAACAGTTTTATTTGATTTATTACATTTATTCAGAGGCAAACCAAAATTTTAAAAAAGTTGTAATTTGAGAAGGAAGAAAATATATATTTTTTAAAAATGTTAAAATCCTACTGATGTATCATGTCTGTTATCTGCTTTCGTAAATCTGCAAGTTTCTTAGCTTTAAGTGTGAAAACTATTAAGAGACATGGAATAGAATAGAAATTTAAACTAATTAACAATAGAATAGATTTGTTTAACTTAAAAGTCTGTTTTGATCACTGTTTAAAAAACAATATCTATTTATCATTATCAGTACCACATTGAAACAATATTTGACCTGAGAGTGATACTTATTATTGTTTATAGTATTAAAACAATTGTATATTTTTAATAATTGTTGTGTTTCTTAATAAAATAATATAAGCTTCAATAGCAGAGTATTTAAGGTACTGAGCTGTCACGATGTAGAACTATGGTTCAATCCCCATCTTAAAATTAATGAGCCTTTATCTCTGACAACTGGCTGTTGTAGGAGTGCTTTACTTTAATTAACAAAATTTTGGTATTTCTTTAAAAAAATTGATAATTTCTTTCTGCGTACTGTTATGCCGTTGATCTCAAAATTGTGTCTCTGTGATCCCTTTGATCAACAACTGGCTGTTCATAATATTTTAGATTTCCTTAAATAATTGTTTTGCAGCCTGTGAAAGCTCAGGGGATAGAGCATTCACCTTCCAATGAGGTGAACTGGGTTCGAATCCCAGCGATGGCTGGTCGATACACATTCAGCATCCGGCTTGCACTGAGGTAAAATATTCTCAGTGGTAGACAGATCATGGATTAGAGTGCCCTTGCCGTCAGGCTAACCATGGGAGGTTTTCATCTCCATGTAATGCAAATGCGTGTTAGTTCCCGCAAAAAAGTTCTCCACAAAGGCAATTTTCTCCCTATAGATCCGGAAGTTCCTTTGTCTTCAGGGTTGAGTTCAAAATTGCAAGGCTGTGGAGTTAAACATTAGTAGTCGTAAACCTGAGAAATTGGATTGGCTCTTCAACAATGGTCATAAAATAAAATGAAATAATTGTTTTAATACTTTCAGTGTATGTAATTTTTTAAAAAAATGTTTTATCTTTATTGCAAAGATTCTTTCAAAAAATAATTAACTAATATTTTTCCTGTGGCAGTGCTCCCTACAGAACCATCTCCCTCAAAGAAAGGTTCTAATCAATCCATCCATGAAGTAGGATTTCATGGCAGATCAAGTTTCAGTCTTGAACCTGAAGCAACCGTTTCATATCGCCCTGACTCAGAAAGTTCAGTAATTGTATCAGACCACCATGGTCATGCACATGCTCATACCCATGAGATACCACAGTCAGTCTCTGCAGTTGCATGGATGGTTATCTTAGGGGATGGCTTGCACAATTTCTGTGATGGATTAGCTATTGGTAAGCACTATTTTTTTTTAATGTCAGTATCAACAATTAGTACAAATCTGTGCAATGACTTCATAAACTATAGGTAACTGTTTCCTGCTAAAACTTGAATGCTGTTAATGTGCACATTTCTTAGCTAATCTACAGATTAACTGATTTAAGGGCTGAATTGAGAGTTTTACCTAGGTAATGGACACGTTAACAGTCTAACTGTATCATTAAAAATAAGAAGATTGTTTATCTTATTTTATCAACTAATTTGTTGCTTGTTTCGACTTGATTCTTTTGATATCAAAAAATAAAAAACACTGTTTCTCAAATATTGTTATGATATTTTAAACCCTTTGATTCTTGGTATTATAGTTTTCAAAGTAATTACTAATTAAATTCTCTCAACTAATTAGTTGTGGTAACTAGATTTGTTTTAGGTAGCTAAAAAAGAATTACATTATTAAAAAAAAAACATTACTGTTCCAGCAAAGATCTTATTTTTACTATACCAACTGCTTAGTAGGTAATGCGCAGATTGTCTAGGTAGTTTATTACTTAGGAAATTCAGCAAATGAAATAATTTTTAGCATTTTGACATATCGTCCTAGTTAATCTATTTGTTGGTTAGATAACTGATAACTCATAATAATAACTGATTTCTGCACTTCAGCAATAACATATAAATTAAGATTTATTATTTTGATCTATTTATTGCAATTAATAAAAACTTATGAAGTTTAAGACACATGCCACTTAAATATTTTATTTTATCATTGATATTCAGAGATTTTATTTTATTTTTTTTATTTGTAAACTGCCTGTTATATCTAGCATTTCATAATAATAATTCCTTACAATATCGTTTAGAAATTTTGTTTCTCGTACATTTGAATTTCGAAATATCTGTTGACCTCGTCAATTCAATTAAACTATATTCTAAATAAGTTAATGTTTTAGGTGCTGCATTTGCTTCCGGTACTGCTGGTGGAATAAGCACAACTGTTGCTGTATTTTGCCACGAACTTCCTCATGAACTAGGTAAACTTTTTTTTTTCATTAAAAAAATATTTTTCATTCTCCACAGGACTCTATATACATCAATTCCTTTTTAGTATAAATTTATTGTTAATTCTAAATGTTTATATTGTAAGCATGAGATTAAGTTAGTATAATATTTTCTGTAAAATTTAGAAATTTTGTTTTTGGAAATATATTAATTAAAAGTAAATATTAATGCTTTAACAAAATTACTTAAAATGTAGAAACAAATTGAAAAACTCAATAATTTAAATGTACTTCACTATGAAATATTTTCTTCTATTTAAGAAAAGTAATGCATTATGCTACTATTTTTTTAATTGAAACAATCTTTCCATTATTTAATGGATGTTCAAACATGATGTTGAAAATATATAATGTTTTTGTTCTACTTTTTTTAATTTAAAAATGTTTTAAAATCTGTGTGTAAAGTTTTTTATTATAATTAATCAATTTGAATGTTGTGAGAATATATTATGAAGACTTGCGGATGTAATTATGTAAATATCCTTTTGAAATTCTCTTAAAATGAGAGGGAAGAAAAATATTTTATCAAAATGTCCTTCAAATACTTAAAAACAAATAGCTATGAACTTTATAGTTGGTCTATGGTAAAAACTCCCCTCGCCACAAAGTCTGATGCCATCTGTTGCTATGGAAACAAGTATAGCGCTTTTCAGGGAGGGTAGCTTCTCTTCACTCTAGGCTAACACAGTAGACCAACGAAAAAGATTCTCTTTCTTTCCTATCCTAAACAATGACCACAAACCCCTACTTGAAATAGTTATGCCTCGTTACCATAGTCACCGCCGCGGGTCCAGACGAATGGCTAGGGGAGTTCTTACTTTAGACAAACTATACTTGATTTTTGATCATTTTTCTTGGTCTTTGTGTACCTTAAAAATGTCTCTTCTGAAAAATGTGTTTACTCAGATTTTTTACTCAGTTTATTGCTTTGAAAGTGCCAATATTTCGAAAGAATAAAATGGTCCTCACATAGAAAATATATTAAAAGACAATTTTTTGTTAAATTTTTTAACTTATTAATTGTGACTGTAAAAAATTACAAATTTATCTTTTTTTATTAAATTATGAATATAGAATTAAAATATTCACAATAAAAATTAAGTGTGCAGTCATTAAAATGATATAGTTTTTGTATTTTAATACTTATTATTAATTATAAAAATTCCTAAAAAAATTTATTTATTTGAGAATTTTTTTATATGTTGCTCAATAGTTGGCCCAAAATTTTTACTTTATTGTAAAATCCACTGTATTTTTTATATTTTGTGATGGCAGTCAGTCAATAAAATTATTTAAATAATTTAGTAATTTTATTTCAAATCTTGAAAATTTTTTTATCAAAATTTTAAACTAAAAATTTTATTTTGTTAAAAATGGATTATTTCAGGTGATTTTGCAATGCTGTTAAAGACTGGAATGAAAGTAAAGCAAGCTTTGTTTTATAATGGCCTTTCTTCAGTTTTGTGTTTTATTGGCATGATCATAGGTGTCACACTTGGAAATGTTCATTCAGCCATCAACTGGGTATTTGCTGGCACCGCTGGAATGTTTCTTTACATTGCACTTGTTGATATGGTGAGCATTCAATAAAAATAGTGTGTTGATATTGTAATAATATTTTGAATAATGTTTTGCTCAGTCAAAAAGGTGCTGTAACAGGACTCTCAGAGAGAACAGGGAAAACCTAGAATTGTCAGGGGATTTTTTTGACACTAAAAATAAGTGAATAGTCAGGGAAAATTGTAATTTTTTACAAAAACCTATACATTTTTTATATCATGCATGGAAAATAACCAGTCTTAGAATTGTCAGTAACAGTAATCAGTTATTGAGATTCGTGTTTAATTCTAACATCTTTTATTATTATTTGTTGTAAAATAAAAAAATTATTTGTTGTTTTGATTCGCAAATTCTAATATTTGAGATTATAAATAAAATAAAAATTTCTGATGAAAAATTAAATGGTTAAGATAAATCATGTTAAATATTTAATTGTGAGAACCAGCTCAATCAAACCTGCTCTAATTGTTTTAAAATTTATTGTGTGATCTGCCTAAAACTAGTTATTTTTTTTAATCTAATCTGTAATTTATATTTATATATCTATTTAGTCTTTTCTATGAAATTAATGTTTTTCTTCTCATTGGTATTATTTTATTTCATTCCTCTAATAATTTGTAGAAAAAAAATATTTATTTTTTCAAAAGGAATCCATAAAATAAGACCAACACATTTGTACTTTTTTTTCCTACTAAAATAAATGAAAATAACGTAATAAATAACAAATGCATTTCCCTAAAATCAAATCTTTTTCCAAGATGCGATTTACTTACCTAGAATTTTTCTCCCACCCAAAATTAAATAAAGTAAATAAACCTTTTATTTATTGGAACTAAAGACCACGGAGCGTGATATTTCTTTTCTTCCCTGTAAATTTGAATCAACTTAAATTTTTTATATAGTACTTGATATGGTAAAAAAAAAATTTTTTATATAATAATTACTTTAGTTTGGTTTCATTTAATGCACAGGGTTATAGTTAGTTATCTAATTTGATAAATAGGATATCATTGATATATTGGAGCTGATTCTGAAGTTAACTATCATTATAAATTGTGATTAAATCCAGAACAAATAGTTTTTTACATCTAAATACAGATTACTTAAACTAGGTCCGATTTAGAATTTTCAGGAGATGTAAGTTACTCAGTAAAATAGGATAGGTAATTTTTCTGTAGCTGGTTGCTGGATAATTTGTAATGGGTAATGTGCCAAAAAGGGTGCAGCTCAAAAAACTTGGCGATTGAAACGAAAAATTTGTTTATGGGTTAGTTTTTCATTTCTTTTATGTTTAAAAAAATCTGAGTCTTTGCTATGCATGATATAATAATAATATTTAAGGTGAAATTTATGTTTCAAATTTAAATAGCTAAATTTTAGAATCAATCAAATTTATAATTTGTGTGCAAACATTTTTGTATTTTTAACTGTTAATATTTCTGAGATATTATTAAAAATAATTGTTATATTTTTGTATTTTAGCTTCCCGAATTGACAATTCCTGCCAATACTCCAGGAATTGGAACCATCACAACTCTAATTGTCCAAGTTTTGGGCATATTTATAGGTGTTAGCGTCATGCTACTTATTGCACTTTATGAAGCAGAACTTCATTCGTTGTTTAGTAGCTGATGATAAAAATGTGATAGCATTTATGAACTTCAAACCCTTGGCTTCCTCAACTTCGACAGACTTCTACAAGATTTTTCTTCCTTTTGCTCCTATGTCAAAAACAACACTATTTTTTTATATACATTTTTGACATTTTTTTTTTATTTGAAAAACCTAACTGCCATTTTTTTTATTAATATTAAAAGCATGGGTTTCTCATTTTGTTTTTGCAAGCTTTTACTATTATTTTTTTTAATTTTATTGATGCATTTTTTTTGCTTAGTTTTGTTTTTTGTTTGTGCATTTAAGTACTTAAATGTGTTTATGAAGCAGCCTAGCAGTATTAATAATGTATTGGAATGACGTGTGATCTAATTTTAATAACATTTGAAAAGTGGATTATTTGCTCTGTTTTCCGGGCAACCTGCAACATACTTTCTATCTTGTTGGTTATGACATGGTTGTTTTTGTATCTCATTGTTATGAATCTCACTATGTAAATAAATCAATTATGAATTTTCATACTGTTGTTTTTTAATACTTAAACATGTGTTCATTGATTTTAATATCAATTTTAACAATTCAACTCTAATGTAATTATTTAAAAATACAGTCCGTGGCCGAATTATTAAACGCACTGTAAGATACTATGTAAAATCTTAGTTATCAGTTGCTACTGTACAGCTTTATTGTTTATACGCCGCTGAAACTGGTTTGCGCTTGTTTACATTCATGTGTCAATTGTTAACATTGTAATACAATACGTTAAAAATAAATATGAATAGGAAGTATATAAAATATCTCTTAAATAAAAACCAATTGCATATATGTTTAAATATAAAAGTATTGCATATAACAGGGATGACTGTGTATCCCTGTTATTGCATAACAGGGATGGAAAAATCTGGATTTCTGGATTTTTCCTCCATGGTCCTCATCAAATCTTTATTAACCACTAAATTTGACAGTGATGGGGATAAAACAATTAAATCCACATCTGAAGACTTGGAATTAACTTAAAAGTTTAAAATTTTTCTCAACTGAATAGATTTAATTGGTAATATATTTTGTGCCATGTGTGCTATGCATTGGATGATTGCCGATGATAAATAGTTTATTTAATAATAGTTTAAGTAATAAATAAAATATCATATGTTATTCCAATTAATAAAAATAGTAGATAATAAAAGAAAGTAAGCAGATTCTAATTTATTTTACAGTGTAATTTTTATTTTTGATAACTTCGGCCGATTTACATTTTATGAGCGTCCTGTTAGTTGAATAAATTTCATCCTCCTTCTTTTATAATTTATCAAAAAGTAATAAATTTCATATTCTATTAATAACAAGATTCAGTGATTATTTCATATCTTTCATCTGATTTTACAAATGATCGATTCCAATCTACTATACAGTAATCGTGTCATAAAATTTTTAATTGATGGATTGTGCGATCGGGAAATAGATTACTTTTATTTCAAAGGTGAAAAAAAAAGGGTTAAAAGATGATTATTAGGAACACCTCCATGTTTCATGGAGCAATTAAATTGGTTTTGATGTTTTTCATCCCATCTTGATACGATAGATTTTATTAGTATCATTGTTTTTTCCTCTATTAGATATTGATTTATGATCCCTTAGCTTGTGTACTTTTTTGCCTTTATTTTTGACAAATATTCTAACTATAAAAATATAAGGATGTGATTAAGGAGCGCCCTATATATAAGGATTAAAAAGTTGGGGGGGGGGTGCTCTCTCCTTGTGTTTGTATATATAAATATATATACATAAATATTAGTCTAAATAATCAAAACCTCACGAATTGACTATCAAGAATTCGAATTTGCAATTTTAACTTTATAATTCGAATTGTTTTAAAATTAAAATGAAATTAGTAAAAGAAGCTGTTTACCTGTGAATTATTAATCTTCCTTTTAACTTTTTTTTATACTGTTACACCGTTTTTTTCTTCTTCTGTTCGCTGTGATATTTGAAATCAAGAATTTTTCAAATCAATCAGTTACCCCTGGTTCCGCAGTCCCTTAACATAAACCCTAGACATTAGAAAACATTTAAGAAATATGGTATTTCGATACGTTTGATGGCAGTGATAAATTCAATCTTGTTTAAAAGGAATTTCAGCAGTAAAAGAAAGTATTAATTTCTCCTTCTAAGAACACGCTAATGCAAGAAAAAAAAATAATAATTCATAAAAATAGTAATAAATAATAGTTTTAATATTTGTTATATTTCATTGAATGAACTCCAAACATCAGAAAACAATAAGTTAAATGTGTTCTAATGTTATGTTATTTCGATAATTATATTAAATGGCAGTGGTAAATTCGATGTTATTTAATAGGAACTCCAGCAGCAATAAAAAATGCTGAATTTTCCTCATAAGAACGCACTTATTAAAAATAAAAAAATACTAAAACTTAATTGTTGCGAAAAAATGTGGAAAATTTTATTCTGAGATAAAATGTCTGGTCAGAACTACCTGAATATTGTAAAATTTACTGTGTTTCTGGATCTAAGGGAACAACAAAAACCACAGTAATTTTTAATACAGTGCTTTGGTAAAATTGACAATAAAATATGATTTCATTACCATACTGTTTGGTAGTAAATGTGGTAAAATTTGGTAGTTTTATTATGATACCCTAGAGCATGACATAAAAACTCTTGAGTCGGTAAAATTTATTTTTAAGCTTTGTACTTTTATTAAATCTGTGGTAATAAGAACTATAATTTTGGAAAACAGAATTTCCAGTAAACCACTACAATACGAATGGAAAAACTATCAAAAATAGTTTTACCTTGTACACTATACGCTAACTCCAGTATATATCAAAAAAACATTAAAAGGGTCATATAAATTTTTTTTTGAAAAACGTGATTTTCTTAAAACTGGGTTTTCTATTAAAACATGTATGGACTCAAAACATTTAAAGAATATTTTTAAAAGTCCGAAATAAATAAATTCCAGCGTATGTATCGACGTAAACAGTGGAACGGACGCTTTCCGAATTATTTTAAATTTTTTAAAATGGTGGACTCGCTTATAAATTTTCATATTAAAATATGGGTGCCATATACTCTGAAAATACCTATGTATGACTAAAAATATTCAAGGGTTATTTTTAAAATACCTTTATTTACTCTTAAATACGCAACTCTCGTAATTGACACGCAAGCCTCTTTAGCATTCATTTTAAAAAGAAATTTTATTGCAAAATGAAATTTATCCCATTTTTTTTAATCTATGTATAATGTTTTATTGGTTCCCATAGAACATTAACAATTGTGTTTCTTTTTTTTTTTTTTTTGAATTTATTTCAGAAAATAACAACTGATATCAAAGCAAACTCAGTGCTGCTGTTGTTTCCGAGTGTGATTCTCGCTCACAAAACGCAAGATTCATTCAAAGAAAAAGGAATGAAATTTCACTCAATTAAAGGGAGGTAGGTCAGTACTTTATTTACGTAGCACTGGTGCTGCACAAGGGGCTATTAGCGACGGTCTGGGTAACATCTCTGAGGATGATCCGAAGACATGCCATCGCAATTTTGATCCTCTGCAGAGGGGATGGCTCCTCTGCTTTGATAGCCCGGCGACCTGCATCCGAAGTCGAGCACTTCACGGTAGAACAGTTTAGCGAGGATCGAACCCTCGGTCCATACTTAGGCTGATTAAAGTGGTCACCCACCCGCTTACTGACAGCAGCCAGTGATGTTTGACATCGGTGTTCTACTGGGAACCGTGTCTTAACGACCAGTCCACTGCGGGACTTAGGAGGATTGAAGAACTTATTTTTTAAGATTTTTTGAAGGAGGAGAAATCTTTGAAACAGAATTCATATTAAAATATGGGCTACCATTCTTGGAAAGCCTCACTCATGTGTTGACTGCAAATGCTTAAAGAACATTTGTGACATAGTATATTTTAGTGCAACACAGGCAGATTCCAGTGTCAAACTAACAAAGCAGAACGGATATTTTGCACATTTTTTAAAAATTTATGAAAAAAGGGATTTTATTTAAAATTCCTTCATAAAAAATATGGACGACATATTCTCTGAAAATTCCCATGTATTATTGAAATTATGGATATAGTATTAAGATTATTATAGGATTATTGAAAGAATATAAAATTTAAAAAAAAGAAAGCTTTATTTTGTGCAAAACACGCAGAGAAATGCGCATGAATAGAGCTATCGTTCGAAGTTATCGTTAAAAATAGTCAATTCCGAATTACCATTGGTGATAAATTTTGTTTAGAAAATCTGAGATCAGATAATGATTGGAACTTCAGTTGTGGAAGTACAGTAGAGATTAGAGAGCTGTAGCAAGCCGAAATTGGTCGAAATATTGATTGATATATTCCAACCTTTAAACACACGAAAGCAAGTTAATAAAAATGTATAAAATAATCAACATTTCATGATATTGTTTTTCGGCTAAAATAATTACTTCAAACTTAAACGAAGTTTATCTAACTCCAATTTTTTCCAAGGATTAAGCTGAATTCTCGGTTCTATTAAGATGTTGGGACAATTAACTGACCTTGGCTGGACGGTAAAGGATTAAATGAGTACGAATTTTGAAATAACTTTCTTGACTGTTTAATTTGACCACTCCTTAGCAGGCTGATGTTGTAAGTGCTAATTCTGCAATGATGAGTAAGATGATGCAACAATGAAATATAGTGTAATATGTCAAGTTGATGCGGTAAATACAATGGTTATAATTTAATCCAACTATGTTCTTCTTTTTGAATATCATTTGGAAAAACACCGAAAGCATATTAATTTTTAGACGAAATTTTTCTCACGTAACTTGTTTTTGTCCACTCGAGGATTCTTTTAAATAAAGTAAATCAAATTAATGAACCAGATAGTCAATGTCAACATGTCTACGGAAGATTTGAAAAGAGAGTAAATGACTGGCATATGAGGGGGGGAATTTTTTTTGTTTGAAGGTCCTTTTATGTTCAGGTAAAACAATGGGGGCCATACTCTAATTAAAAAAATAGTCATGATGTAAATTATGTGTTCATAATTTTTTTTTTTTCTGAAACCAACTGACCATGCAACAATAATTGTCACTCTTACAAAGGAAAAGCCATTAATTCAAAATTTTATTATACGTGCACATGAAAGTGTCACAATGTTATGTTCAGTATTATGAATTATGCATTATATTAGGGGGAAAAAGGTTAGTTTGATTATAACAACGGTAAACCATTTTAAAATGCAGTTAAAGAGTCGAAATGTGTATGTATGTAAGCAGGACGAGTTTTCACCAAAGATAGAGGTTTTATTATGATTATAAATACTACTCGCGTTCCATCCCAACAATAATGTTTTTATCAAAGTTTATTCAACGTTGAATAAACGATTGCAAAATTGATAAGTTGATTCATTTATTCAAACGGCTCAAATTTCTTTTGAATTGTAAGTAAAATTCTGAGTTTCCTAACCAAATCAATGTTTTAGAAATTTGCTTCTCGATTTTTCACTTTACAATGTAAAACAGAGCTCTGCACTTAATTTAATAAAGCTTTTCAGTTTCAAATACATTCTTGTTTATATATATATATATATATATATATGTGTGTGTGTGTGTGTGTGTGTAGTGTTATGCCCTTAAAGGCTAGATAAATTAAGAGACTTAGGCTGATTTCGATAAAAAGGCATTTTATTACGTTATATTAAGTATTGAAAACAGTGTTCGTGGGGTATTTACATTGATGCTTTCCCCATTGCAGGGATTGTTTGGATTTGGCCCAGATTTATCTAGCCATAGAAATATGAAAAAAGACAAGCATTTTTGGCTGTCCCGAGATTTTAAAGGGAGATTCTGAGAGGAAGTGGTTGCAAGGATCTTCTTATCTCAATGAAACGTCATTCAATTGATAAAATTTAGAGATTTTGATTCGCTGAAAGGATATCGCCACTCTGACGGTGGAAAGTTTCTGGGACTATCTTAATGCGTACTTTATTTACGAATTATTGCCCATTGACTTCAGAAAAGAATGGTTTATCTGGCCTTATCTGGTTCATCTTGACTTTTAATGACTCTTTGTGAGAGACCGACTTCTACATCTTAAACTTGATAAGAAACATATGTTCCAAGCTTATTAGTTAATATAGAAAGACTCGCATGAGAAATTATATATATATATATATATATATAACTTTTTTGGAATAAACAGAGAATTAAGTGAATGCAATGTAAATCAATTGCAATGGATGTAGTGGAATTGAATCCTTTTTTAATTCTGGAAATATATCTTTGCGGTGTTCTTCTTAAATTTGAGTTATCTGTTCTTCAATTTAACAAGGTTTTATATGCCTTCTTTGTAATGCGACCAAAAGTCTGCATATGAGTATGTAGCAATAGCATTGCAGTATTGAGAAATGGAGATTTTGATTTAATTTTTATTCTCATTTATTGCATGCATAATTCTACAATCCTATTTGTTTAAGATAAATAACGATTTATTTACATGCCTACGTAATATTTGGACGGCCTGTTATCAGACATTTTTAACGCATTTTTATTTTATTTTATTGAATGAAAATTTTTTTTAAATACTTAACGGTACGGTGCATTTACTTACGTCGCTCTTGAGCTGCATAATGGGCTATTGGCGACGGTCTGGAAAACATCCCTTAGGATGATCCGAAGACAACATGTATTTGTCATGTCCCGTTTTACAGGGAGGACACATTCACACACCAACCATCCATCATTTGATCGTAATTTTGACCTGAACCAGAACATGATTAATCTCTAATTAAGAACTCCCAGAGGTATTGATTTTTTATGGGAACTTGGAGGATTTTGTGACCCCGACAGATTTAGTGTGCATCAGACAGATTTAGAGTGCATTTTGGACATGGGGAGTCTTCGGCTGGCGAAGATCGAACTCATGACCTTTCGGACATAGCGCAAATGCTCAACCAGCTAGGTTATTCCTGACCAACTATTTAACGGAAACATAAAAGGTGTCAAAATACAGTAGACATGTAAGACAAAAACGTATGTGTATGCATATTTTTGATACATATATATATAGGTTTATGTATATGTACGGCTTTGTAGCTGAAATTTGTTTTATTAAGGAAAAATAATAAATAACGAATTTTCCTTGGCCGAATGGACTCGCCGATTCTCCAAAAGCTCTGTAACGTGGAAGTAGTGGGTACGAATCCCGCTGTAACTCTGGAAATATTTTTGCGATGTTCTTCTCTAATTTGTGCTATCTGTTCTTCAACTTAAGGCTAAGCCGTCTTTGTAATAAGCACATGCGCCCACATATGTATATAGAAAACCTTGAAGAAGCATTGTAGCACTGAGCAATATTTATTTCCTTTTTAATACAAGAATTAAAAAACCAGATGTCCTCGAATCGTATTTCATTAGGTTAGCGGCCAGAGAAACTCTTCAGGCATCCCTATCGCTCCCCCAGGTACTCGAAATTCAATCCTCTCTTAAAACACGTAAAAGCCCCGCGTGAGGATTGCAAGCCGTAGTTTGTTGACCACTTTTCAGCCTTAATTATCTAAATGAATCAAAACTTATTAAATTAATATTCCCGGCCACTTAAAATTTGTAATGTGAAATTGTATATAGTGTTTCGATACAGACCACTGTGGGCCAGAAGACGCGATCTTTGGCCAAAAGTCAAAAATTAAATTTTCAACTAAAATATGTGTAGGTAGTTTTAATATAGCCCAAATTAAGTATTCAAAACCATTCCAAACATTATAATTTACTTTTTGGACCGACGAAAGTACAATGTAATGAAAAATATGTTAAATGTTTTTGAAATGTAACTTTTAAATTTTTATTTCAGAAATATATATAGAAATTTTACCTTACTGTTACATTTTTATCAGAGTAATTAGTCTGAAATTTTAGTCCAATTTTTCAATTTGTTGGATTAGTTAATGCTCTTGACAAACCTAAAGTTTTTATCTTATCATTTGACATTTTACAATGTTTGAATGACTTTCGAAACTAAGTTCCAAAAAGTTCCACAAGGTAATTAGCTAAACTTTTTTTTTATTGTCTTCTTTGATACTTCTTCTTTCGAAAAAACCTGCCCCATTTTGCCCATATTGCAAAGGTAGACTAAATATACCGAAAAAAAAAAAGGTATGTTCTTTTTGCATGTTTTCGCGTTACTTTGTAATTAATTTGCGTTATTTTGTAATATTACTTCGAAAATAAAATTTGCTTTTCATTTTCAATATAAAATTACGAAAATTATTATAATTTCATTGCTATATTTACTTATTTAAACGTACTATATTATTTTTTTAATTTTTGCTTGCCATATTTCAATCGCCATTTTGTTTTTTTTGTGTGGGTATTTTTAGTGTATTTCAAAATTTCAACTATGAATTCAATTTACCTAAACATAAAAAACCCTAAATAAAAACCCCCAAATTTTGAAACAAATTTTATCGAAATACTAATTTTGGCCACGAAACCTTAGATGCTGGCCCACTGTGCAGACTTTTGAAAGTCTATCCATATGCCAATCCAAACTTTCAACCCTTATGTATTGTATGCGTGTATAATTAATTGAACATTGAATCCAGAATACAGAGGAGCAGGGAATGATTTTTGCGAAACGTGGCACAAGCACAAATTTTTTTAGTAGGAGGAAAGATAAGATGAAATTGAATGGCACTAGAACTCACAATAGAGGACATTTTACCAAACTCAAACCAAACAGTGTACTTAAGATTATGAAAATGATTGCTTATTTAAAAAACATACCTAAAAGGGATCGGCGGAAGATAATTTTAATAAAATCTACCTGCTTGATTGAAAAAAACAAAAACAAATGAAAACTTTCTAGGGTTAGCTTAACGATAAACGGATTATAATGTTCATTGAGAAGGAATTACTAAAAGGGTTCAGCTAGCTTTTTTTCCCTTTGGAAAATTATTACCGAGACTCGAAGCTCCTTAAACACCAGTTTTAGCTTGGAAGTAAAATAAACCATGTTAATCGTTTAACTATGATATTTAACTATGAATCGTTTAACTATAAAATAAACTATATTCATTGTTTGTTTAAAAAATTTCAATATTTTCAATATTGTTTAAAAATTGAGATATTTTTTTTCTGCCATTGAGTATTGCAGAATTTTCAATATTCTGCCATACTCAATGGCAGAAAGAAATGTCTCAATTTTCATACTGTGGTTCCTAAGTTAAAAAATAAAAAATAAAGACGTTCACCGAAAAAACCCTAAAAATATATGTTTAACTTACATGCATACAATCAGGCGTAATATTGTGCATGGAAAATGTTTTTTATCATCTATTTTATCATACTTTTTAAGACTACAGAATCTTTTTCTGATCATTATTAAAGGTAATAATTATAAAGACTTGTCATCACTATGCAAACTAGTAAAATAACTTTAAAGTAAGAGTTTTTTTTTCTTTTCTAAAAAAAAAAAGAACATGATGAAAGTGAACCACGCCTCTGCGAACTCTAACCTTGGTCTTTCTCGAGACAGTTTCCATAAAAATGAAGGCCTACCGCACACTTTTTTGTTCTTAAGCTCATGACGCATGCATTTAGAGCAGGCATTCTCAAAGATTCTTGAAAACCAGTTGATTGTCAACTTGGAATAATTTGTAAACATTCAGTTCTACGAGCTGTGTATTGATAGGAAAGTTGGTTTTTGTTGTTACAAAAGAAAAGATTATTGTGATAAGTGGCATTGTTGATGGTTGCTCAATGAATCGATAAACATCTTGCCTATAGAAAACGATCTTTGGAATTTTTAGAACAGCTTTTTGTATGTTTGCAACATGATTAGTTAGATAAAGTTTACATTTTGAAACAGTTTAAGTTCTTAAACTCTGTTCTTAAAATATAATTTTATAATTGATACCGGTTAATTCAGAGTACGAACTGTTAAATTCGAACAAGTGTGAAAACGATATCTTGATCAGAAATTTTGATTAACTACAACTTCGACGATTTATTTCTTTGAACTGATGTCACGAACTTTCATAATATTTACGATTGATAATATTACTGTCGATATTTATACTTAACGTAATTATTCTTTTTTTTTCTTCTTTCTTCTTCCTGCTTCTTGTCTGCCTGTTAAAAAAAATTGCCGATTGGATTTGAAAGGAGTAGAATCTATCGTTGAAGTAAATAATACATTTTCTACGTTTTCACTGGTAAGTTCTTTTATTTTAATTCATTTTGTTTTTAAGTTAAGAACTGTACCCGAAATTATCACAAAACATATTTTGTTTATATTATATGTTTAGTTTCTGCTCATTTTTATTTAGTAAATTGTGTCTAAAAATTAAAACTTTTTGCTAAAGAGTGTATTGAATTAATTAATAAACAAGATTAAATTATTAGATTAATTTATGATCACGAAATTATTTTTTAGAACTTGTTTAGTTTATTTAATGCCTAATTTTCTTCAAATTTTCTTTGGTTACGGGAATATTCAATTTAAAATTAGTTGCTTTGTTTGTTTAATTTTTAATCGATTTCGTTAAATATTTCAAGTAACAGGGTAAGCTTTCTGTCGTTTTTATCTAAGCTAAGTTATTGATTTGTTAATAAAGATTAGATAGCTTTTTCCAATTCTGAAGTTTTTTTTCTCCTAATGTTCGAAAATTTATTTTAAAACTAGAAAAATGCGATTTCAATCTTTATTGATTTTTTTTAATTTATTTCTTAGGTATTGAAAAATATATATAATCTTTTGTTATTTTACTAAATTGTATGCTCGTATGTTTTTTTTGAATTTTATTTTATTTCATTTTTTTTTTTTTTGAATTTTAAAGTTTGTGTTAGAAAATGGATAGATGATTTTGTGCGTTTTCAGTAACCATTTCAAATAATGAATTTATAGCATACTTCGAGATAGTCTTTATGAAAAATAAAGAAAAGAAAACAATATTGCTTGTTTCTCGTAATATTAGATATTTTAATTATAGGATTTATTAGCTTAGCATTTTAAATTTTTATGGAAACGAAAAGATTATTTTTGTACGTTTTCAGTAAATCTCATAAATCAACTATATTTGTGCATTTTGTTGTAAATGAAATAGATCATTTCAAAAAATTTTTGTGCTTATAGCTTTGTTAGCATTCTTGGAAAGCAATGTTTTTTGTATGAGGTTTGGTACAGATACCATTAAAGGGATATATAAAATTATTAAATAGATTCCTGTTTAATTGGTCTGAAATGCTACCGAGAAAAAGCTGGATACGCACAATTTCGTTTATAGAAAAAAAAAAAAAAAAAAAAAAAAAAAAAAAAAAAAAAAAAAAAAAAAAAAAAAANAAAAAAAAAAAAAAAAAAAAAAAAAAAAAAAACTAAGAAATATTTTTGAGATTTACGTTAGAAGCATCTTACCCTCAATAATAGGAAAAATTCATATTAGTCATAACAGTGACAAAAAGTTGAAATGATAACCTTATTGGGAAAAAAATGGCAAAAAGAAAAACTAAAATTAACTCCTTTGTATGTGGAAATTTGTAACATAGCCATAAAAAAATTAATAAATAAATAGAGAATCGAATAAACGTAGCTGGGCTAAACAGAACAAGTAAAAATTGAAAACTTAGGGGAGTTGTTTGGCAAAACATGAATTAATCAAATTTTCTTCGATTATATATCAATAGACTCAGTATTTCAATATATTTGTCTCAGCTGTTCCACATTATATGATGATGAAAGCTCTAATTCTATCCAATCGAATAAAAATTGAAGTCAACGATTGTGATTCATCTAAAAATGTATAATACGACAGTAAAACAATAATGCCTGAAAAATGTTTAATAGAACAATCAAATCCTAACGTTCAAAAATGCTAAATACGCAATTAGACAACAATAATGTTTGAAAAATGCTTAATACCTTAACCAAACCACAACAAATTGTTAGAAAGAAAAACTAATAAAAGTGACAATATAAAAGTTATTTTATTAAAAAACCAATTTCTAAATTTCGATAAGATTGAAAATGGTTACATATCGGTTTATTTTTATTTTTCTTGTATTTTTTTACGGGTACTAAACAAGTGTTTTTAAATTGCTTATTTATTTTAGTCATAACTGTTAAGAAATTGCGTATTTGTATTTAGTTCAACAAAAAATAAAAGAAATCGCGTAGTGGATAAAGAAATGATTCGAAAATCAGCTGCTTTATTTGTCTCACGTTTTCTGATGAAAGATTACTGAATACTTAAATTATAAACAATATAATTAATCTTAAAACATTATAAAGTTTCTAAAAATAAGGCGATAAAAAGAGAAATTACCAAAAAAACAAGCCAAACTTTTTTAATATTTTTTTAAAAATATTCCTGTGACAACCCTTCGCGTAGAGAAAACGTGTTGGCGAAAAAGTATTAATATTCTAGAACAGCTATAGAAATGTAAATGGAGTTGTTAGTCATGTATTTAGTGTTACTTTTGAAATACATTTTCTGTTTTTTTTTATTTTATTTTTATTTATTTTTTTTTTCTTAAAAAGATTCTTTAAACATAACTAGAGAACAACTGCTACATTCCCTTGAAAAATTCACTGCTGTTATATCTTTTTTATTCTCAGCAGAAAAGTTACATTACATTTATAACTTAATTCTGTTAAAATTATATCTTAAATCTGAGTTTTTTTGTTACACTTGAGCTACTTTTATAACGCACCAAGTTGGATCACATGACAGAACATACTTCGACAATCTAATCAATGTTGCATTTATTATAGTTTTTTTAGCATTTATTTTTCACGGGACTCAAAATTGCGATGTTTTGAATTGTTTCAGTTTTTATGTGGGTATACGTTTCATTGCGCACAATCCGTTCTCATTCGACGCTTTAAGTTAAATATTTAGCTTGTTTTATTAGATATGTACGATTTTTGTATTAAATTTTGGTCACATACACAACTTTTTGACAGTTTTAGCTGAACAACAACACGTTCTATTTACTCTTCAGCTGCATCGTTATTTAGGAGATGGACAAAATAATGGAGACACTTCTATTCTAATACATTTATTTCATCTTTCTCAAGAACTACTAAGAGAATCATTTTATAACTTCAGATATGTTTAGAGCATGCGGTTTCTCATACATATCAATGAAGTTTAAAGGTTTGAGGGACCTACAATAAATTACAAACGGGAAAAAAATGTTTTTTAACACCTTATGCTAAAAATGTAGCAATAGATTTGTAACTTGTGATAGTTCTTGTTACTATATGCACTAATTGCACGAAATTTCGTAATTTTAGCTTAAACATTTTTGGATATGAACATTTCTATAAAAAACAAATTGTTTTTACTATATTAAAAATACTAAATAAAAAAAATTCAAAAGAGTTTAAAATTAATTACAAATATTTTGCTTTAAAAATTGGGGAAAAAATTATTCAAAACCTTCGCAATATGAAAGTAATTAAAGTAATTACTTAATACAGCACATGAGCAGAAAAAATAAACTTTTTTTTCATAATTTTGTAGTGAATTGTACTTGGAAACTAATGAAAAAGGCCCGATTTGAATACTTTAAAAATTTAAAATGTTAGAAGCAATTTTCTACGCAGTTTTTGTACTAGCTAAAAGAAAGTTCAAAATGATAAGGGATTTCTACATTTTGTATCATATCAAGTTTGTATCACAATTTTGTATCAGAAGACAAAATTTAATAACAAATGATAAACCCTTACAATAAACATTGATACACCAAATTGTGATTTAATAAGGAAAGAAAACTGGCAAAGGAAATGATACTTTTATGGGGGATGATCCACAACTATGCCATGTGGCTTTTATCAATAAATCTTATTCAATAGTACAAAATGAAACATGTGGAAAACTCCATATCATTTTAAGCTTCTTTTTTTACTACTTAGAAGCTACTTAAAAAATTGCTTGAAATTTTTAAAATTTCAAATTCAAGTCGGGTTTTTTTTTCATTGGTTGTAAAATACAATTCTGTACAAAATTAAGAAAAAATATTCTTAAATTTTTCCCCGCATGCACAGTATAAAACAACTACGTTTATTACTCATATCTTGCACAGTTTTAAACGGATTATTCTCAAATTTTAAAGCAATAATTTTGTAATTAATTTTAAACTGCTCCAAAAGTTTTGTTTCATTTTAATGAATGGTTTTAAAGTTATAGCAAAAAAACGCAAGACAAAAATATTAGTTTCTTTTTTTTTATAAAAATGTCTATGTTTTCATATATATATTTAAGTTAGGTTTACGAAACTTTGTACAATTGTTGCATTGAATAACCAAAATAACTGGAACAAGATACTGGGGTTGTTACATTTTTTGTCATAGAGCGTTCGAAAACACTTTTTTCCGTTTGTAATTTGTCTGTCCCTCAAACATTTAAAAGTTTTAAACATCATTGATATATATGAGAAATTGCATAATCTAAACATTTCTAAATTCATAAAATGATTATTTAAGTATCAAAAAAATGTGCTTGCATCGAAGTGTTTCCATTATTTTTTCCGACATCTGTATTGTCGTATTGTGGATAATTTCAACGATTTCAATTAACTGATCTCCATTCACTTGGCTCCATCAAATTAGTGATTTCATCATAATCAATGAATTTAAAAATTTGAAGAAAAGATTGAAGTTATAAATTGATACTTATCAGTTGATGTTAATCTATTTATTCTATAAATACTTATTTTGAGAAACATGTAATTTTTGTATATATTTTTGTAAGGTATAAAAGGAGAAATAAAGTTGATACTCATTCGAATGTATGAATCGGTTTATTTTGATTGGTTTGAATAATAGTTACTTGTTCATTTTGTTACAAATTTAAATCAGTTGAATTTAATTTTTTAATTCAAAGAAATTGATTTGAACAAGCAATTTTAATAATTAATTTGAATATGATTATCGAATCTACAACTCTACGTATGTATAATTTCTTATATTCAGAGATTTTATATATATATNTAAGAAAAACAATAAGTTTCATTTATTGCGCATAAGCTGCAAGTAAACAGAACTCATTAAATAAGTTCAAAATGCAGATAAAACGAAGGAAAATTATAGACATATGAAAAAAAGGGAGGGGGAAATAATAATTAAAAAAATAACAAACAACTGATTAAAAAAAAGGATGAAATTTCATTTGAAAAAGCAGGGAAAAAAAGATATAATCTTTTCATCAGCCCA